GAGATGTGATACAAAAATGCAGCAGCTGCCGCCGCCACATGGCCCCAAACCAGCAGCCGGCTCCTAAAGCACCGCAGCGTGCTCCGTCTGCCTCTCCAGCTCTAGCGCCAGTGACTCCTGGCTCTTCCCTCCAGGCAAACTGAGCAGGAAAGGTGACCACTGTGAGCTGACCCAGCACACCGAGGCAGCCGTGGCAGCAGCAGCTAGACACTCACGACAGAGGACTTCCAGAGCTGCTCCAGAAGGTGGCGGGGCCGTGGGCCCACTGAGCACAAAGCAAAAAGGAGGACTGTACAAGTGATTAGTGAAAGTGTGTCTTTCACTATAATACATTTTTTAAGAAGCATTTGAACATGCACTGCATTCTTAACCACGCTTTCTATGCATGCATCCTAAAGTACTGCGGGAGGGAGGCATGTTCTTATTTCTTGAGCTTGATGTTGAAGAATATGTGACAGACTCTCTAGAATCCTCCCCTGTGCTGGATGTCACCGTCCCCAGATGCATCTTGGAGCTGGGTGGGCTGTTCCATTGTAGCATGGCCAACCTTTCACTGTACAACTTCACGGCATCCAGCCTGCTGCTGATGGCTTTGTACAGCATTTCTAGGTTTGGACAGTCAGAACAGAGAACGCCATGCACGCATGATTCACGTCTTGGTCATGAGAGGCTCCCCGCACAGCATGTGAGCGTCGCTGCCACCTGCTGGACACTTGCGTGGCATCTCCTGTATACTGCTAGGGTTTTATTTTTGTTGTTGCTTGTTCAAGCTCTGTAGGCAGGATACCTTTCAGAAGTTAATATGTAATCCATATATATAGTCTGTTTGATAACTTAGAAGCAGTCAAATGTACAAGTCTGAGGGACAGTGTGCTACCTTTTATTATACTTATGAAATCATCGTCTAGATAAAAAAAACGTACAACTTTTACTACCTACGACTGCCTCCTTGTATCCCTTCTCTATTCTCCTGGCGTTTATTGGCATGGATTGGTCTGGCCTGTTCTTGAACTTGACATAAGCGGGACCACAGAGAACACGCCTTTTTGTTTCTGTGTAAATCAGTTCACCACTGCCGGTTGCAGAATAGCGTCGCCCTTGTATGACCGCGGCAGCTTGCGCCTCTATGCTCCCTCTGATGGGTGTTAGGGGTGCTTTTAGTTTGGGGCCACTAGAACAAAGCCCCCACGACGTCCTTCGTGCACATTTCTTCTGGGTACAGACCTGAGGATGCTACCGCGCGCTCTTCGGAGGGACCGTGAGTACCGCTGCCTTCTAAGTGGCGCGGCCTGCGTTCCCCAGCGGGAGCTCGCCCTCTGGCCACTCCGCCATAGCTGTGGGGTGTGCTGTAGCTGAGCCCCGTGGACCTGGGGACGCGTCTGGGTGACCGCACCGCAGATGCCCACTCCAGGCAGTCACTACGTACGTGCGGGTTTCCTTTCTCATCTCCATTTCTGCTAGGCGCTTACAGTGACTCCAGCCAGCCTAGGACTTTGTCCAGGGTTTAAAAAGAAACGATGAGATCCCAGAGTGGGGGAAAAGGAGGAAGGGCTCCAAGGTGAGAGCGCGGACACACCATTCATGGGGGAAGCTACTCCGCAAGCAGAGCTCTGACCTCGCCCCAGCCCCGGCTTCCGGTGCGCTGGTCTGACAACACAAGCTTGCAGGGTCCCCATCTGGGGGCATGATTTGAAAGACATTGTGGCGGTTATCTTTTCATGATTGCTTTTTGCCTTGGAAAAGTCAGGGGAGGAGAGGGCAGAGGACCCTCAGCCTTCCTGGACGGAAGACTTCGCTGTATCTGAGGCAGTTTCTACCCCTTCCTCCTCATCGCTGCTTGGAAAGAGAGCAGCCCGTCTGCAGCCCAGGTGAGGAGAAGGCTGGGAGAGAGCTGCCCTGCGCCCAGCTTCCCTCCGGAATGAGAAAGCAGTCTCTGGGTGACTGGCCTGAGGGAGTGGTTTCATGTCCTGATGACCCGGGGACAGGAAGCGCCCAGGCTCACCAACAGGCTAGTGCACTCTCTTCTGGTGCACAACAGAACAGAGTCCCCGCTCCCGAAGCGGCCCGCGTGTGGCTACTCCCAAGCAGCGTTCTTTGCACACACAAGGCACTGACAACCAGGGCAGCACAGAGCTCGCCAGCTCTCTCCAGCCCTTTCCTCTCGGGGGGTGGATGGTGGCGGTAGGTGAACAACACAGTCACATTAGGGCTTCCGTCTAAGCCTCGATGGCAGATCACCTCGCTTCCGTTTTCTTTATATTTCTTCATGGTTTCCACATTTGTAAAATTAAAATTCACATAGAAAAGAAACAGCACTTTCTGTGCCCCTGGGACACCCACGTGTTGTTAGGCCCCCAAACCACAAGTCTGAGTGAGGCCTGGTACGCCTGCTCTTCAGGGCCACAACCTGGGACCGGAGCCTGCGCGGGCAGCTCTGCACACCCTCGAGCCAGCTCTGTACCCTAGTCTTCCGCTCTCGTGGTGTGAAGACTGTCTCCACCCCAGTTTTTACTCTCTGTTCCCTGTAGCCTTCCCAGGCCCAGGGGATCCTGTTCTAGACTTCTTGTGCGGCAGGGTGTGAATACACGCCTGTTACCTCAGGACTCTGGGAGGCTGAGTCAGGAAGACAGCAGGCTGGAGCCCAGCTTGGGTAGCTCAGTGGGATCTTATCTCAAAATACAAAATTTAAAAAGGGCTGGGGGCACAGCTCAGTGCAAAGGCCCTGGGCTCATCTCTAGCACTGCAAATCAAAAGACACCCAAAATTTCACTCTGGGGTCTCCTTCACACAAGACAGTGACCAAGGAGGCAGCTACTATGATCAGACTCCTCCCTTGTCACTGAGCTGAAAGACCAGGTAAGATTTTATCCCCCAAAAGAAAGCCACTTAATGAATGAGAAATTCACATGCCAAGCTCTAAACTCCCAGAGCTGAAGAAATAAAAGCCGATTCCACACTGCCCCAGAGGTCTACATTGATTTTTTTTTCTCCTCACACATCTCTATCATCGTTCCCAAGCCAGAGACTCTGTGGAAGGCACAATCGTTTATACCCCTTCAAATTAACAGCATGCAAATCCCTCACGGGATTTTCAAGTGAAGACATTGCTAGCTCTAACAAAGAAGTTCGCTCTGACTGTTTCAAGTGGGCGCTCCCTTGGAGAAGACAACATTCCTTTTCATCTCTAGCAAAGGGAGAGCCGAACAGGCTTCAGCCTGCTCCCTTAATCCAGCTTTGCAGCTCAGCGTTCTCACTTGGGCCCTTGGACATTTCCATTTCCTTGACTTGGCCACTTGGCTGGGAGCCGCCTGGGATCCAGACGCAGGGCTCCACACAGAGAAGGCCTCCTGCCTGGTGAGGGCCGGCCTTGGCAGCTCCAGCGAGTAAACAGCCCATCCTTCTGGGTCACTGAAGTGCACTGAAGAGAGCAACCCAGAGGATATGGGGAGAGTGTTGGGAGGGTACTCCAGGGATAGGTTAACGAAGAATGAACTTCCCACCGAGTCATGGTCTGCGCAGAGCCAACTACAAAGGGAGGCGCCTGAGGCACAGCAGCAGAGACAGGGGACAGCAGAGGCCAGGAGGCAGCATCCTGAGCTGGCCTGTCCCCTCCCTCCCTGCACCTGTCTTCATCCGAGCTCCAACTCCGTGTCTGCACAGAGCAGGGGCATGTCACATTGTTTTGTATAAAAAAACAAATTTCTGTGCAGGTGATTATTTGGACAGGTGCTGTCTGACTTCCCAGGCAGAGAGCAGGGTCGAGGCCACAGCCCAGGCCCCTGTGACCCCAGCGCTAGGCAAGCTGTTCCCATGGGCAATGGCCTGTGTTCAGTGCTTGCTCCCCTCAAGACGCACACGCTGAAACCTGCCTGCCCAGGGTGACGGCATTGCGGGGGCTCTGGGCAGGGATTCCCTACCTGGGACGCAGCCTGCACGAAGGACATTCGTGCCTGCACTGACGTGAGCCTGGGGATCTTGAAGGATCAGAGAACACTTCCTACAATGCAAAGCTTAGCGAGATGTTTCCGGTCACCCTACTTTTCTACTTTTATTGGGTTTATTATTGTTACTTGTTGCACAATGGGGCAATTTTAAGAACAAAACAAGTAATCCACATCCTCCTTGACCAAAGCCTCACAACTTTTAGTTTCCCTGGAAGAAAGGGTATGTGAAGCTGTCCAGAGTTGCCTTAGGTCTGAAGACACTCCTCCCCAGAGGTGTGAAGACACTTTATCACAGCTGCGGGACTGAAGGGAGATTTATTAGGGTTACTAGTGCTATTTCTGTCAATGTCTTTGGAATTCTAATTAGATTATTAAAACTTTGCAAATCATTACACTAGATCCCGACTCCACACCTCACCGTGACAAGGGAACTTCTGGAATTAGAGGATCCTGATATCATGGGTAATGATGCACTGCTGATAATAAAGTTGCAGGGAAATTCCTCCAATAAAATCCAGCTGGAGAAGAAGAGCCCATTCATCTCACCTTCTCTCCTAGCTTCACGCCTGAGGACAAGGTGTCTGCTGTGCAGAACACCCGCCTCACCTTTCTGTCCTATCAGCTGCACAGCGAGGCTGTGGCCCACGCTGTAATATGTAATGGCTCGTCTTGGCTACTTAGTTTTGTCCCCTAAATCTCAGAGGCAAATAAAAAAGTTTATATGTGAAAAGACACTTCAAAGGATATTTTTAGGAGAGAGATGAGACAAATGGCAGGTTCAACATTAAGAATATGCTACATCTCAGGACAGGGTGATTTACAACATATGCGTTCAAAGCAGTACCTGAAAAGAAACAAATGGCTGACGCTAGCGCAGACCCATCCACAGTAATATATGGTGCGCTCTTTACCCCCCAAATAATGGGCCGGTGCCCTTCAAGATCAGCGGATGAGGAATGAGTGCATCCCGCGTCCTCTGCAAGACAACCTGGTCCCTTTAGCAGGAGACCTGGGCCCTCCATGTTCCAGCCAAAGAAGTACACGGGGCCTACTTACCATGATGGACGACGCCCTTCAGCCCATGGATAATAGGATCCAGTGCAGAGTTGTCCCTCGGACTGACCTACACGCAAAGAAAGCATGACTGGTTAAATCCATCCTGGCATCAAACACAACAGCCTCAGTTTAATCTTCCAAAGAGAAAGGGGGAAAATAGCTGTTATCTAGCAAGCTGCATAGATCTCACATGCCCTGGCTCTCACCAAATGTGAGAGATTTAGGACACGATAAAATCAAGTGCAGAGGTTTAAATCAAAAGCAAGAAACGTCTCAGAATATATTATAACAGCAGAGAAATACCATGGTTCTGGCAAAACCTTAAAAAGCCACCGTAGGACTTTCTTCATGCTTTGTTTTATTAAAAGTGGGCCGTGATCAGCTCAAAAGTCATTGAAAGTCATCAGAGAGCAATCCATCATGGGCTGAATATTTCAGTACCTTCTGGTGGTTTTTTTTCCCTCCTTAGAAAACGCATCAGTTCCCTGCCAGCCTGTTCTCCTTTGTAAGAACCCCAGCCCCTGTGAAAAATCCCGCGGTAGCAGGGGCAGCTGTAAGAGCTGCTCAAAGCAGGACAGCAGGGGAGCAGCTCAAAGACGCTGTCCCACCTTCATGTTCTTCTGGGTCCTTTGATACTCCAAGGCCGAGCCCACTTGGCCCGCATCCCACTGACTTTCCCTTCCTTTCTGACGGCACTCAGAAGAAATTCTCATTCAGATTAAGATCTCACCAGCCTATTACAACTATCTTTTTAAGGTACTTTGCCTAAGATATACCTTGAAATGTTTACAAATGAAACAATGCCAGGAGTCTGCTTCAAATAAGCTGAGTGGACAGCAGGGGGTGAGAGTGAGGCACAGATGCCAGACAAGGCTTGCGTTCATCCATCACTTAGGGCCTTGGGAGATGAGTACAGGATGGGGCATGATATATCTTCTCTAATTTGTGTTTAATTTTTAATGTTTAATTTTTTCCAAAACAAGGAACTTTACAAAACCCATTGACTGCGGTCAGCACAGCTCCTGCCCACTTTTGTTTCCGCTTCAGGGATAGTGCTTACCACTAATCCACTTCCAACATAATGAAGTTGAGATATTGATGATTCTTTCAAAGTGTACCAAGACTCAATTTGACATTTCAAATTACTTAATTCAGAAGAATCCAGAGACATCCCTTGGTAAAATTTTAACACACACCTTCCAGCCCATATAGCCTCTGCTGGGTTCCTGTACCTCGCTCGTGCTTGCTGAGAATCACTCACACTTCACCCTTTCCCTGCTGTCCTCTGCTTCAGCAGCTCCAGCCAAAGCAGCAGTTGTCAGCCGAGGACCATTCTGCTCCCTAAGGGGACAAATGGTGGCCCAGAGACAACTTTGGTCATCACAAGTAGGGATGGAGGGGGAGAGAGAAGAGGAGAAGCTTCTAGCATCAAATGGGTGGAGGCCGGGAGTGCTGCTAACTCCCTGTAATAGTAGACCAGTACCCCAAGGAAAACTGCGGGGCAGGGCAGGCCAGTGGTGCGGAGGGCTCTGGGGAGACAGCTGCTGCTAGAGCTAACAGTGACTACAACTGAATGGCTGTACCCCAAGTTACACCTGATTCAGAACACTGTACACAGTTGTGTCCACATATTAATAAAACAATGTAAAACCTGGCAGTATGTCATGAACACTACAGGTACAGGGAGGGGGAAGAACCTGTGAACAGGGACCCAGTGTGACAGATCAGAGAAGCAGGAGTTTGGAAGTTGTTGACAATGTCTCCGAATCGCCTGGGAGGATGCTCAAGCCAGGGGTTTAAGACACGGAGTTGAAGAATGAAATAGTCTTTAAAGGTGAACATCCAGAGAACATACCAAAGCCAAAGCAAAGCTGAAGAAATTCTGTGTCTGTGTTACTGCCAATCACTGATCAAAAAGAAGTCACAACTGAAGAAGGCAAAACGAGATAATCTACCCAGTGAGTGTGGCCTTACTTCTGAAGTCCAGAATGGAATCACACGAGAGCCCCGGGCAGGGCCCCGCATCAGCCTGGAGCTCTAGGTCAAAGGAGTTTGGATGAGCATTCCTGAAGGCTCTGCTGAGAGCAAGGTGCGGAACGTCCAAGACCAGGGGACTCGCGGCAGGCCTTTAGCTCACCAGGGACGTACCCTTGGAAGGGCAGCACTCTCAGGGCTCAATCCCTTTCTCTGCCTTTCAGACCCCTGGCCCTAGTGGCAAGCCACTTGCCAAGCTGCGTGCTCCCTCAAGGTGCTGCCTCAACTCCAGTTCCAAGCAGGAGGATCAGTTGGCCACGGACTGCAGCCCCCACCACCGAGACCAAAATCGCCCTTTTCCTTTGTAAATTAATGACCTTAGGCATTTCCTTCCAGTGACACCGACAGATTAACACAGGTGGTCTCCCACTGGGTCTGGCAAGGGTGCTCTCCCAGCATACCTGTCCATACTCTGCTACCTGTGGGAGGTATCAAAATGGCCCCAGCTTCCTGCTGTCCTTGCTACGCACACAATTTGATTGGGCCACTTCTCTACCAATAGTATGTATCAATTTCATCTTCGAAACTATGTTTGTGGAGGTGGCTTGCTTTGGCCAAGGAGAAATCAGGGAATGCTTGCAGATAGAGGCTCACAGAGCGTCTGGAATCCAAGCCACCAGGGAAGGGATCCCATGTTAGCCCACTGGCGGATGAGGGAGTACAGGGAGCAGAGGCAGAAGACACAGCTGAGGCCTCCCCGGTGCTGACCCCGGGCAGGTCAGCGTGTCCCCAGAGGCCCTGACTTAGCTGAGGTACCCGTGCGCTCTGCAGAGACCCAGCTGAACGGCCCGGCCATTTCTACCCACTACTCTACAGAATTAGGAAATAATGAAATGATGGTTATTTTAACTAATTAGCATCCTTTGTTTTACAGCAAAGTTTATCAGAGCTTCTTAAAATGTGTGCGGAGAACAAGGATCATAGGCTATATTAATGATTTTCTTAACAAGCACAATTTCACTTATGCAGAACTTTTTCCTTAAAAGTTTCTTAGTGAGACTGCACATCATAAGCCCGATAAGCTTAGGTGCTCCTCCCATGCAGCGCCCTCCGTCCTGAACTGCGGCCGCCGTTCCCAGCCCCATCAGCGGCCCCGGATCCACGGTCTCGCCTTCTGCAGCTACACTTCTACACGGCAACTGCGGCCTTAACGTTTTAAACGGAAAAGTTCAGAAACAAAACCCGTTCTGAGTTGCGCATGGTTCTGAGTCGCACGATGGCTCTCCCACGGGCCTGCTCCACCTCGTCTGGAACAGAAACCGCCCTTCTGCGCAGCGAATCCGCACCGCGTCAGATACCTGCGCCACCGCAGTGTAGTGGTCAGGGAGCCCTCGCTTGACTTTATAGCAATCCCACAGCTCAAGAGTCTTGACGCTGGCAAACTTGTTATGTATACTGTTGTACTTGTTTTGCTTTATTACCAGTTCATATTGTGAGTCTGTTCCTGTGACTGACACGATATTTCAGTCAAACTGTCATAGCTATGTATCTGTAAGAAAAGAGTTTGGCACAGTTTATCCACTGCAGATGACGGGATTACGGTACCCTCAAGTTCCACCCACATCGAGATGGGGTACTGAGCAGTAGGGGGCGCATCTGGTCTTGTCTGGTAATGTGCAGGCTCAAAGAAAGCATTCCTAATCTCCCTCGGCTGATGTCCTCTGATAATATTTGCAGGTTACACAAGAGGAAAATAATCAGGCGGCCGGAGCCAAGTCCACTTTCTGTTGGCATGTGATCAGCGCAGCTCTGTGCGTACAACTCAGACTTGGCCTCATCTGAGCCCCGAGATCTGACCCGGCATTCTAAACAGCTCCATAAATGGGGAGCCCTCTACACTGTCCCTTCAAGGGCTGGGGAGGATAGCTGGGGTTCCTACAGTGCATGAGGAGAAAGCTAGAGAAAATGGAGTTTGCTGGACAAAAAAACAGAACTGAGCTCATTTTCCTGAGTCTCGCTGCCAGGACTCACTTTGGGAAATCCAAACATCATGCTAGTAAGTGGATTTTTTCCAGTAAGGTACAACTCTAACTGAAATAATCCCTTCCACTGTTTCATTTAATTTGCACTTTAAAAAATTATGAATATAAGGTAAGCAATCTGGCCACCTTTGATATGAGGTAGTGGAGAACACCATCTTATCAACTTGCATTCACATTCTACTCTCCATCCGAGGAGAGGAGGCCAAGGAGGGGATGGAGAGACCCAGAGCCCAGGCCTGGCGAGTGAGTGAGACCGCCCGGGGCCCGCGGATCCTGAATAGACCCAGAGTGCAGGCCTGGCGAGTGAGTGAGACCGCCCGGGGCCTTGGGATCCTGAATAGACCCAGAGCCCAGGCCTGGCGTGTGAGTGAGACCGCCCGGGGCCCGTGGATCCTGAATAGACCCAGAGCCCAGGCCTGGTGAGTGAGTGAGACCGCCCGGGGCCCGCGGATCCTGAATAGACCCAGAGTGCAGGCCTGGCGAGTGAGTGAGACCGCCCAGGGCCCGCGGATCCTGAATAGACCCAGACTGCAGGCCTGGCGAGTGAGTGAGACCACCTGGGGCCTTGGGATCCTGA